CTCGACCATTCCCTACGGGGGCACGTAATAGAAAGTGTTGAAATACTTAACAAGCGAAAGACAAAGAATGAAAATGGACAGGCATTGAGAAACAGTAAGATACCTGAGCCAGCCAGTGGGCAAGCCGTTGGCCGCGATCGCGAAGGGAGTGACCATCGTTATAATGGTCGGTGGGACGGTCGACGGGGGAAAGAACATCCATGAGATAATGAGAAAACCCCGGACCGTCGAGCGTTGTGATCGAGAGGGCAGTCTCCTCAACGCGGCGGCGTTTGGTAACATTTTCGTCTTCCCCAGCAGCGGAGCGTTTAAGTGGATTCTCCACTAGCTGGGTTTGCTTGGGAGAAGCGGGGATATGTACGACCGGGGTCGTTTGATCGCGCGTGGGAGAACGCAGCGGAGGAGAGGACGATGGTGGAGAGGACGGTTTCTCGAGCTGCTCTGATGGCTCGAGGGGCTGCTCGGTTGGAAGGTTGACTGAAGGAGTGGGCTCGACGGTTATGTTCGGAGGAGGGGAAGCAGAGCGGGTGGACTGGGAGGCGATCGAGTTAGCCGGTTTCGAGCTCGACCCCTCACCAGGTTGCTTCCTTTTGAGAGGAGCACTCCGTTTGGGCACAGAGATAGTCGGCATCTCTGTCAAAAATCATGAATAAAGCCAGGGTTACAGCAGGCAAAATCATATAGCAATACAATAATGTCAGGCACACTTAATAAAATGCAAATACCTGGATCGTCTACAATTTGAATAAGATCGAATATCTTAGGGGAAGGAAGGGGAAGTGATTTGTGAGTGAGAAGGCCACAGTAATGCAAAAGGTTCTCATCCTCAAGTAAAGTCTTCGACGCAACAGGCTTGGTGTTCCAAACAGCGATCCGTTGGTCGAAGAGGGCATTCTGAGGAGGCACCGCGGTGTCACGGGTGAGCTCCTTACGCCACGGAATTGGCTCCCAAGGGAAGGCAGGACTAGGCTCAACGAAGGCGAACCTATCTCTCCACCTCGGGACGTTGGTGGGGGTGTCGGAGATGAAGTGAATATCGGCTCGGCCTTTAAGGTAGAGCCCTTGAGGGTGTTTCGAGGGGGTGTAGCAATAGTGGAAGAAATCGAGGTCGAGCCGACCTAGACGGACATGGCAAAGAATGATGAAAATGGTAATGAATCGAATAGCATTGGGAGGGAGCTGGTTCAAGGGCAGATCGAACCACCGGCAGATGTCGATCAGATCTTGGCACAAGGGAAAGCGGATACTAAGCTTAAACTGCACTTCGGAAAAGGTATAACAACCCTTGGGGGGATTGTCATATGTGTCCTTAGGACTAGGAGATACGAACGCCCACTTAGCCGGGTGACCAACCTCGTTGATGTCCAACCAGCCGGCGATAAGAGAGTGAGAAGAGGGCTGATTCAAGAAAGAAGCCTTGACTAACCTCCTCTTCTTAGTAGGCTTGGAGGGCGCAGCAGTAGGACCTGAGCGGGTCGGTGAGAGAGGAGTGCTGGAAGGTTTCGAGATGGGCGAGGAAGAAACGTTTTGTTTCGGCTTACTCGATGAGGTAGCTTTGGCAAACACAGAGTGGCGAGAGAGAGGAACAGTATCTTCATCATCCTCAGCAGCGGTCTCGGCAGCATCGAGAGCCTCCTCGGCGGCGTCAGAAGCCCCGAACGCCGGTCGGCGGCGCCTTAGAGGGATGTGATCGAGGGTATCCTCATCTGATTCGTCAATCAGACGAGTAGATGGGCAAGAAGGAGAAGGTGTGGCGTGGTCGGAAGGGCGTAAAATGCTGATGGGAATGGGATTGTAGATTTCCTCAACAGAGCGAGAGGTGAGTGAGGGACAGGCTGGCGAAGAGGGAAAGACGACGCGCTTGTCTCATCCTCACTGAACGGACGGCTCGATGCGTTAGAATCGGCAGAATCTGAAAAAGTAGAACAAAAAATTGAGGGGAAAAGAAGAAGAATTAGGGTTTCGAAAAGCAAGAAAGGTGGGTCTTTTGGCCGCAAGCGAAGCGAGAAGAATTGGGGAAAAGGAAGAAGTAACAGGAAAATCGAAAAATTGACAAGATAAACACGCATAAATATAAAATTGGAGCACAGGAGACTTACTCATGGTCGCGGTGGAGAAGTGGTTGCCGGAAAGTGCTTGAACAGGCGTTGAGAGTAGGCAAGAGCAGTCTGCAGAAAGAAAGTGCGGAGCGCAAAGGAGATTCAAAATCGCAAAGGTGAGAAAAGCTGCAAAAATGACTAAGTATCGTATTTATAGGAGTACAACTGAATAAGGTGAAGAGTTGGGAGAATAGGACCGTTAGATAAAGGAAGATCCAACGGCGGAAACAATTAAAGAGGCGTAGATATCGGAGCGGCACAAATCGCGAGAAGACGTGATGATTAGAGGTACAGAGAAGGAGGACATGTGGCAGGCGGAAATCGCGCTAATAATAAAGAGAGATGAAAAGCGATCATAGCATGCAATAAAAGAAACCACGTGGTCGAGGAAAGGTAACAACATCAACAAGAGTGATCGAGAGAGAAGACCAGAAGGCGACACCGACAAAAATAATCGGAAAAAATGCGTAGAACGAAGAAGATAGCTCGGACTCACTCTTAGATCGAGTCATTCAGACTCGACCAGACTGGGGGGGACTAGATGATATGGATATCATCTGACTAAAGAACAGACCGGCCCATCACGTCGGACAAACCGGCATAAGTTGGGAGAAAACCACGTGGGTTGAAGGATGATCGACCAAAGCAGAAGAGATCGAGCAGAATGGCAGGGTTGGTCGAGGATCGACCTAGCGAGGGGGAGCTCGATCATATCGAGCACGTAGCAGGAAGGAAGCAGTCGAGAGCGTGACCTGAACGTGAGTAGGCGCGTGGGTGATCCCAACGGCCCACGCAAAGGAATATTTCCCCTCAACTCAAAAGGGGACACGTGGCGAGAACCTAGTGGCGCAGAGTAATAGTGGCAATAACCACCTCTGACGTTCCTGACATTTCTGACAATACACGTACTGCGTGTGTACGGACGTGCAGCGCGGGCAGGACAGCTCACCAAATATCCGGGCAGCTCTTAGGGCAGGTATCTCACTCCTATATATAGAGGAGTGGGTCTTTTCTTAGGGTTTACGATTTATCCATTCTCTACTTTGGAAAATTGAACAAACATATACTGACTTAAGCATCGGAGGCTCTTCACCGGAAAACCCCTCCGGTGTGAGAGTTCTGTGCAGGAGCGCGGCGTTCTATCGGCGAGGAAGAAGGAAGCAAACCGATTTCAAGCCGGTTGGAGTGTTTTGCGTTACCACCATCTTTTACAAATCCTGAATAAAATGGTAACCAACGGGGAAATGAACACCATTCCCCTTGCAAAGCCCTCTCGACTAAAAAAGAAACTACACAACTATAATGAAGGTCCAAAACAAAGCTACAACAGACAAGATTAGATAACAATACACAAATGTCCGCAATCACAAGAAAATTAAAACAACAGATTTAGTCAAGCTTCAGCAGCAAAGATACTAGCCCTTTATCAGCAACTCTGCAAACTATCTTCTTCCAACCCTACTCCTCCAATTTCACCAGGCCCCATTTGAGAGCTATCAGATCAAATTTCCTTTTATTGCCTTCAAAACCTACAGACTCTGACCATTTCTCCACAACCACTCTATCATGCCTGGCTACACCCCCTAACCCCGATCTGCCAACAGAAGAGCATGAGGCACTGATAGAAAGGAACTTTGTCTTACCTCCTTGGAAAATTTCCCTTCAAGTGCAGAAACCAGACTCTGTCCTTTCTCCACCTCAGAAACATTCTTAAAACTCACCATGTTGAATTCAATCAACTCATCATTTGCTCCTTCCACCGTATACCTCTCTTCCTTTCATTCCTTCATAAACTTCCATCCATTTCTTGATTTTCAGATCCACCAGATCAAGTAAATAGATAGACACACTCTATCCACCATATAATTGGTTTTGAAGTATTTACAGACCTCCATCCACTAATCTTTAAATCTGCAATCCCTATGATTAAGAATGTCCCAGCTCACACCAATCAAATGCCAACATAATACAGCTCTAGGACACTTGAAGAATATATGCTCCTGATCTTCAATCCCTTCTCCATAGATTTCACAAACAACTCCACATCCATTCCTCTTCTCTCCAATTGTACATTTGTACTCAAATATTCATTCCAACACATCCAAATGAGGTTTTCAACTTATGTTTTATAGGAAGTTTCCAAGTCTTAATCCATAACCTTGCCATCTGTCCACTTGATGTGCTTAGATTTCCTAAGTTTTCTCTCATTGTTTTTTGAGCCAAAACTAACTGGTGAGTTGATTTAACAATAAAGTTTGCCATGTTTTTCCCAGTGTCAAACCAACTATCATCTAAACCTTTGGCAACTTGTCTGACTAATTGGCACTCTCACTATGGCTAGAGCATCCATAGGGTTGAAAGTTTGGTACACTACATCTCTATCTCCCTTTTGCATCAGCTAAACAACCCACCTAAATCTACACCTATCACTAGGAAAACAACAAACTGGTTTGAAATAAGGATTACGAACTACCCCATATTTAGTGACCACTTCCTACTTGGAATCTCACCCCCAATTGAAGGCTCTCTCTAACCCTTAATCAGTTCCTCCACATATCAATAGTCAGTTGAATATGCCAATAAGTTGGGAAGTATTTGTAACAACTAATTTGACTAGGTAATTAAATAGGACGTTGTTTGTATTAAATAATTTTGAATATGCCAATAAGTTGGGAAGTATTTGTAACAACTAATTTGACTAGGTAATTAAATATGACGTTGAAAGTATTTGTATTAAATAATTTAACTAGCCAATTGTATTAATGATTTGTAACCTTTTAGTAAATAACAATTTATAACCCTTTAAATAACAGTTTGTATAATTTTTTTGGAAAACTCGGGCTGTGATGTTTTTTTGAATATTCTTTACCTAAACACACATCTATTTAAGTTGTTTAAAATTTCCATTTTGAGCTAAAAAACTATTCAAATCTCTTTGCGGAAAAGCAAATAAGCAAATTTATCGGTTCAATCTTTTTATGAGATTCAATCTGCCAATTTAATACCAATCCGCTTACAACCACACAAGTCCCTGAAAGGAATTCATATGATTCCAATTTGTCTCGTCTATAAGCTTAAATCATATTACTACGGTCTGAAGTTGGACAAGATAATCATAATAGACGGCCAGCTCAATCTCCTCCAACTTGCCTTTTCCATGAGTCCTCCACGATCAATTCATCCACACCCCAGTCTTCATAGCTGTAAATTTTAGCATAAAATAAAATATCATAACGTTGAGAAACAAACAGATAGAAACCACCCCTCAAAACTGAAAGATCTCACCTTCCATCAGGAAGGTAACGACGAATAGTGAAGGGTATTTTTCGCTCTCGCAATTCCTTCATTGCAATCTGAAAGGAAAAATAAAACAGATAAGACATTTAGAAAAAATCCAGAATACCATGTGCATAGCTGCTTCAAGAAAGACAAATATACAGTATAGACTATCCCACCAATCTCATACAAATTCGAGGCTGCATGACAGATATGAATTACAATACAACTTTCATTTTCACAAGGCAAGACACAATCATCATAAAAGATTGCATACTACCCTGTAAACAGAAACAAAAACAAAACTAATGTCCAATAGTAGCAAAAATCATCAAGCACACGAATTTTACAAATATTCAAGACAAATAAGAACTTCACAAGTGCAAAGACTCGAGTATTTAGTTTTGGAATTTGAAACTGATGGGTATTAGAAAAAAAAAAAAAAAAAAAACAAAAAAATCCTAACCTTCCAGTCTTTCAGACAAAATTTAGCACAAGTTCGGTTCAGGGATAACCTATTATGCATATAATTGAGCTGATTGGTCCAAGTACATCCCCATTGCACAGCTATTTAGCACTCTTAATTGCACTTATATATAAAATGTATAAAAAAAATCACCAATGCTCGGATAAGCGGGCCGATAAGTTTATGCCACCAATAGCCACATCTCAGTTACAGCAGTTCCAATATTAATAGCTAAGTGGTTTTTGTGAAACACAAATATTTTCGAACATATGCTGCACAGTCAGTACTCCGAAAAATCAGAAAATCGGAGTTTGGGAAAAACCACAGTGCTCATACGTAAAATGAACAACAATGTCTTCAACAGATTTCAGCAGACCGATTAACAGAAGAAACTCACACTCTAAAGTTACTGGTCCACATTTTAATTTCTATTATTGCAAATTATATCTTGTGGATCTATTGAGATAAGATATTCAAAAGGGAGTAACAACAAGTACACAAGCTTAACTACCTAAGAAAAGATCCAAACAGTCCACAGGCAACTTAACCATTACATAACTCAATAGTAAACCATAGCTGCTCTGTTCCAGAAAATTAACACAAATACCCCAATACCCAAGACGAAACCATAATATGCAATTAAAGAAAAAAAATGTTGACTTTCCAAAGGAAGATCCATAATACTTCACCTCCAATGGGTCTGTTTCACCCTCCAACTCCACCATCACGGGTGCATTCATGCTGTCAATACAAAACCCTCCACAAAGTCACTAAAATCACATCTCAAGCTAAACACACACACACCACAAAAATAAAAAATAAAATTAAAAAAAAATACGTTGAAAGCAGACCTAATCTGCAGTGCCCTCGTGCCCAAAATCCGGGCCCGCTCGTACTTGGTCATATATTTGGAGGTTTTCCGAGGGCGTTCTACCGGCTCTTGGTCCTCCTTATCTTCACCCTCGCCTTCAATAGGATCTGGAGCATCCTCGTTGTTTTCTTCTTCCAGTTCCGCCCCTTCCTGTTAATTACCGAGCGAACCCAAATCATACACCATAACAACAAAGCTTGACGGTACAAATGAATAATTCGAATTAAAAAGATAATAAGCACACTTACATCAGGCTCGGGATCCATGGGCTCATCCTCGTACCTGCATGGAATCAAGGTTTTCTTGTTAAGTATAGTACAATAAAACCCTAGATATCTTTTCTTAAAAAATGAAAAGCAATATCTGTTCGGTTAAATTAGGGTAAGTAGGTTGGAATAATGAGCGATGAGTTCATAGGGAGATGGAGACTTTGTACGAACCCTCCGTCCATCTCGTATTCCTCGTCTGCCATTGCTCCTCTTCTCTCTCAGTCGTTCTCTCCTCTCCTCGGCTCGTCTCTCGCTGGTGCGACTTGAAACTTGGAATCTTCTACTTTAAATAGGGTACGGCAATTAAATTGTTCCTGATGGGTTGGGTACTTGGGTCAAAGCCCATTACATACAATATATTTGAGAAGGCCCGTTTCAAATTGGCTAATACACATGAGAAAATTACCTATTTAATGACTGTTGCTTAAGTTTCTTTTTCCTATTTAATGACAAAATATTTTTGTTACCAAATCAGACTTCACCTTTCCACTTGAATGAGATTTTTAGTTTCTTAATAACACTTTTCCAGTGTATTCTTCATCTTCTCCATCCCAATTAAACTCGTTCAATTTCTCTCCTCTCTTTACTTATCACTTCACAGAACCACACGCACACACCAACACTTCATATATATACAATCTCCCATCCCGTATCTTGTTCTCTGTTCTTCTTAGATCGGCCGGAATGGCAATCACCAGAGAGAGGTACAACAACCAAGCTTGGCGGACATCGATTCGGGCCACTGACTCGATTTCTGGGGTTCGTCGAGTACAGATTCGGGCCGCGACCAAGTTTGAGGGTTGGGTTGTCGGACCCAGTTATCAACGACGATTTCGATGGCCCCGATTTTGACGTCCACCAACGGCGGTGCAAGGGACTGAGGTAGATCTAAGTTAAAAAAATGCTCTATGTTATAATTAGGGTTGCTCACGACAAAATTTTGGGCGTTAGGGTTAGAATTAGGAACAGAGGTTGATATATGTTGTATGAGAGCTCCATAGTATACCTGCAACTAAAACTATGGCTGGCAAAAATTTTATAGAGCCATCATATGGTTTTTTTATGGAGCCATCCACCACTTAATGTATTGACATTTGTCCAAAGTGTATTTATTGCAGGACACGTGTCAATACACTATTGGTGAATAAGTGTGGATGACTCCATAAGCGGAGCCATTCGATGGCTCCATAGCAAAATTGCTATGGCTGGACACCTTTTTTTTTTTTTATATTTCTTATTTAATTTTATACCTTTTTAGTAAAAAAATAAATAATAAACTTGAGAAAAAATAAAAGTTTTAAGTTTGTTTTTAATAAACTTACAAATAAACTAAAAGGTTTACATAAGATAAACTACAAATAAACTAAAAGGTTTACATAAGATAAACTACAAATAAACTAAAAGCTTTACATAAGATAAACTACAAATAAACTACAAATATAAAAAACATTAATGTCTTGATTGGTAGAAGGAATGATATGAGAATGAAATGATCATTCCTTTATTCATTCCTTATCCCATGATTGATATATTTTTTGAAAATGAATGACCATTCCAATGGGAATGGCAAAACCCATCTCCATGGGATTAGTCATTCCATAGTAAATGGAAGGTTTTCTCATTCCCGTTTATGTAGAAATCAATTTTAAAAAAAATAAAATTAACAAATAATAATAAAAAAATTAATATATAATATATATTATAAATCATGATTAAAATATATTAAATAAAATTATTTTAAAAAATAAAATTTAAATAAAAAAATTGAAAACCTACTTTTATTTATTTTTTAATTAGATATATTAAATACTTATATAAAAATAAAACTAAATAAAAGCATTTATATATAATTTAAAAATATATTATTTATTTTTATATATTATTAAAAATATATTATTTTTTGTATATTAAAAATATATTTCTTTTAAAAATATATTATTAAAAATATATTATTGAAAAATATAAAAATATATATTATTAAAAATATATTACTTTTTATTTTTAAATATTATTAAAAATATATTATTTTAAAAAATAGAATTCAAATAAAAAATTGAAAACTTGATTTTATATATTTTTTAATTAAAAAATAAAATATATAATATTAAAAATATATTATTTTATTTTTATATATTATTAAAAAGCATTTATATATAATTTATTAAAAGTAAATTATTTTTAAGAAAAGCTTTTATTTATTTTTATAATAAAAAATAATAATGTCATTCAATTCAAGACATATTCTTTCTGCATACCAAACGCATCAATGACAAAACTTGTTTCTTTCCATTCCCATAATCATTCCATTCCTTAATTCATTCTATTCCTACAAAATTCCATTCCATTATACCAATCATGCCATAAGAGTTGTGTTTGGAGATGTTGCCAATATCTTGATGATTTCCTTAAATTTTTTTAGATACTTTAAAACTAAAAGATGTTATTTTTGCTATTTTTCATTAGATTTTATCGTATTTATTTTTAAATTATTAATTTTTATACTCGTTATCACATGCACAAAAAATAAAATAAAAAAACTAAAGGAACAAACAAAAAAAAGTAATATTAGGCCGCAAAAAAATAATAAATTCAACAATTTTTTTCTTGTTTCATATAAAAATGGTTTATAATCTTATTAGCAAATCAGTGACTATAAAATAAATAAAAAAAAATTCATTGAAACTAATAATCAACCAATAGAAAAATAAAAATACACCCCCAATATTGTTTATGAAGAGTTTGTTTTTCAATTATGTTGCATTAAATAAAAAAAATGTAGTTTGCCTTTTCTTTTGTTTACCTAGTGAATATTTATGGTTCTTTTTTCGATCTAGTGAATATTAATGGTTTATTTAGTGGATGTTTTTATTTATTTCTCATTTTGGTTGATTTGTGATATAAACTTACTCTACTTTTGAGAGTTGATAAGAGAAATTATGGTATATTAAATTTTTACGTAGTGATTACTTTTGGAGTTTTCTTTAATTCAATTTTAATGTGGTTGATATTTTACACTTGACTCAATTTTGCAATTGAATTAATATGAGAAGAATTCGAAAGACAAAATATTGAGAGCTGATAAGAGAAGGACATGAGAGAAAATGGTTTTAAATGTGGATTTTTATTTTTTTTATATAGAGAATAATTAGGAATCGAGAGATAGATTCCATCAATTTTTTAGGAATGAGGTTAGATATACCACATGCTTCTATTTTCATTTAATTTTTTCACTGCCTACAATAAATGGAGAGAGAAAATAAAGTGGCGCATTACCTGATGAAAGCAATTCCATATATGGATTATAAATTACAATGGAACGACTTTTGGGATTTGAAAAGTATTGTCGCATATGTGTAAATGAGAAACTTAAAAGACCGAGTTATGTCCTTTCGCCAATACACATCCAAATATACTTTAGAAAAGTTTTATATATTTACGAACATCTAAACTTAATTTCACATAAACGATAATTAAAAGAGTTAATTTGTCTTAAACAAAAAGATTAATCATTTAGCATAAAAATCTCTCCTCTCTCCACTCATCCGAAACTGAAGGGATCATAGAGAAAAAAAAAACCCACAAATACAAGGAAGTTGTTGATCTTATCGGTTATCCTCTCAACGTACACCGACAAAGGGAAAGGCGTCTCCACTGTGGCGAACTCATCCTCACTATCTCTGATGAATTCGCATATGTGTAAATGAGAAACTTAAAAGACCTAGTTATGTCCTTTCGCCAATACACATCCAAATATTTTTTAGAAAGGTTTTATATATATACGAACATCTAAACTTAATTTCACATAAACAATAATTAAAAGAGTTAATTTGTCTTAAACAAAAAGATTCTCCACTCATCCAAAACTGAAGGGATCATAGAGGAAAAAAAAACCCACAAATACAAGGAAGTTGTTGATCTTATCGGTTATCCTCTCAGCGTACACCGACAAAGGGAAAGACGTCTGCACTGTGGCGAACTCATCCTCACAATCTCTGATGAATTTATCACAACGCTTAGCATGCTCCTCGTGATGTCGATTTCCTTGATGGCGAAGTCGTCGAGTGCCTTCTAAAAGTTCCTGATGGTCGTCAGCCGTGGAGTGGCTGTCGGGTTCACATCAGCTGCTACACGTGCGCGACGGGAAGGTCGCGCCATGCTCGGGCGCGCACCGGCAACTCTTTCGCACAGTCACTGTTGCGTCGAGCGCGACGACCTGCTCGCGTGCTTTCCTGTGCCCGAGCACATTCGTCGATTGCCGGAGACCCACAAAAAACTCGTGTGTCGGGTCGCTGTGAGCCTTGCGCCTGGGAAACCTCGGCAGTATGCTGCCAAGCACCTGCACACGATCACGATCAAAATATTAATAAAATAAAAAATTACAATTTTGATCCTAGACTCATGGATGGGTTTACATGTTTGTCTAAGAAAGCGAATAAATCTCTATGTTGTCCCACCGGGCGAATAATTATTACAAACATACAACCATCATCCTCAACATGCCCGAGGTATTAAAACTTAAATCATGCAATAAAATTAAATCGCATCACATCAAGCACATAGAATCACATATGCAATAATAGTGGATTATACTACTCCTGCAAAACTGAGTTATGCACACATATATGGATAATCCAATTTATGGTTGCGCTTGAACACACATAATTCATGTAAGCCTTAAAAATTTGAACTTTGCACAGAAATGCATTAAACATGAGCTTTGATACCTTCATGTTGAGATCTCTAAGGATCGTCGCTAATGTGAAGTTATAAAGTTAACAACAAAAATACCTATGTGCAGCGGATCTATAGGTAAAAGTAGAAGACTCACGGTTTAATACTTTTATCGACTCTGAGACGTAGATTTTCTTTGGAAGAGATCATCTGATCACAAAGTCCGTTAGGCTACTGGACGGGCCTTCACGGGACTACGCGAGTCGCTACATGCGGACGCGGTAGGATGGTCGCGTACGGTGTTGAGAAGTACGTCTCAAGTCACATCTAGTCGCTGGGCGTCGAGCATGATTGTCACGGGTTGACTCAGCGTCGGGTCGCTGCAAGCATCGTCTCCGGGAGAGCATCTCGCATTAGGTCTTAGCATCTCGGGTCGCATGCAGGTGCAGTGGGTGATCTTCAGGAGCAGCGATGCGGTGTAGACTGGGCGCTACGATGGAGCAGGTCGTCGTTGGACATCATCGGTGAACTCGGGTCGTCTCACGCGACGGTGCTCGATGGTGACCGATGATGCACGGTGGCCGACAGTGGTCGGGTGCTCGGCTTCGCTCGAGTGCTCGACTACCCTAAGGCCTTCTCTTGAATTACATAACACCTCTAGAACTCCTTTGGTGGGAAGGAGAATGTAGATATCTCTATGTGTTTTATGTCTTGGAAGACAAGAGAAGAGGTGTATCAATAGGCTTCAATAGGGACCCTAAGGAGGCATTAAATTGGCTTCTCCTATTAGGACTAGACTAACATGCTAAGCCTACAAAGCCGAATAGGAATAATGCAGTCATTCCACTAAAGTAATATTATTGAATACTCCCAATTTAATTCTTACTTTACGATTTGAGCTGCATTTTCTAATATACTCGAATTATCTCTCCATGCTTAAGATATAATGTCCGACAATTTATTTAATTATTGATAATTAAATTAATTGACTTCTTGATCCAGAGCTAGCACCGTTCAATCATTATTATTATGTCGGAATTTAATCCACCTGCAGGGTTTAACATAATAATCATTCTGAACTCACTTCGGGGACATCATCAAACCTCAACTATGTGAAGTACATAGTGACTGTAAATATTATAACAGAACATCATGTCATGTAGGAATCACTACCCAATCCAGACAGTTATTGGCCTATATCAATAAACCTCACCTTGTTGAATGACAGTCGTACTTACAACATACATGTGTTTGTTTATATCTTACGAGTTAAGAGAACACAATAATTAACCGAAGTTTAATTCGTTTATGACAATCGGTATAAAACGAACTGCTCCTCTATGGGATTTATTCAATACACCAATGTGTACTAATGTGACTAATCAGTCCAGATCAATACCGTTCACACTACAACCATTCCAATGGATTGTTTTCTATCTAGGTTGTGAATCAATTGTTTATGTTACGCAAGTAACCGATAAATGATCTTCTGTCCATCTGCGATAAACCATTTATCTAAACGCAAATAGAACATAAAACTTTATTTAATCAAACATGAATTCTCATTCAACATAATAGTGTGAATCACATTTAAAGCCAAGCTTTCAGTATATACACTAACATGTGTGTTATTTGATGTATGGCTTTATTTGTAAAGAAGTTTAGTTGATGTAAAAATTAGATCTATCATATTGGAAATGTGAAATTGAATGTTTGAAATGCGTTCTCTATCTTCAGAAATTATTTTGATATGATACATTCTTTTAGTTGAATTGTGTTGTATTGGGACCTTGATATGTGATATGATACAAGATATATAGAAACAACATAATCAACGAACGATTCATATTGTCTGTGGTTGCACCCGTAAGTCTCTTGTTTTTTCCTTTCTCTTCGTTTGGTCATTTTGGGATGTTGGTGTTGCTTGGTGTAGAGAGCCGAGCTTGAGGGTTGCTGAGAGGGCTTTAATTTTGCCTATAGTTATTTTTCTTTATTTAGCTATGTTTTTTTCCTTTTTTTTTTCTTTTTTTTTCTGCATTTTGTTGTTTGTTTACTTGTTAGTCTCCCATGGTGGAGTTCTTTAGTCTATTATATGGAGTAGTTCAAACCCCTTTATGGAGTTTTTCTATCCCGTTTGTTTGGGTGTTTTGTAGGGTTGATTCCTGTGGAGAGGGAGCTCTGTTGTTAAAAACTCCTCTGTGGTTAGTCTCTTTTTGTCACTTGACAGTTAAGATGGCCCCTGTAACTAATTGGTTACATGTTGTACTCTTTTTGAGTTATATTAATATTACAAGGCGTTTAAGAAAAAAACTCAATGTATTTTGTGGAATTTGGATCCCCATAATACTCTGATCTGGGGCTCGAAGACTAATATAAATAAAAAAATAAAAATAAAAAAAAATAAATAGAACTGAATGAAGTGGATCTTATGTATAAAATAAATTTTTTGTCAGAATCTCTAAAAAAATCACAATACAGAAATATTTATGGCGCAGTTGGATATTTTTAAAATGTAACGATTAAAGTTGTTATGATTTAGAAGTAGGTGATGGATAATTGAAAATGATATATAGTTAAAAATATATGAATATAGAATTAAAGTTGATATGATGTGTAATAATGATTGATTGATATTATTTAATTATATAGATAATATTAAAAAGAGTTTAGTTGAATTTTGAGTTAAGTAAAATAAGAACTATTCGTTGCTCAATTTGTTATAAGGACAACTTCACGTAATAAACCTAGTCCGCTATAAATACACCTCTTCTCCAGCCTTGCAACAAGACATAACACACATAGAGATATCTAGATTCCCCTTCCCACCCAGGGACTTCTAGAGGTGTTAGGTAATTCAATAGAAGATCTTTAGTTAGTCGAGCACCCGACCACCGTCAGCCACCGATCACCACTGTGCACAGCCGCGCAGAGACGACTTTAGTTCACAGGAGACGCCCCAACGCAACCTACTTCTTACCAGCAACCTCGTAACGCCGCTTCGCTACTCCCTAGAGACCCAATGTCTGCTACTCTCTGCAACCCGTGCGACCCTCGACATCCTCGCGCCCAAAGACGTAGACTACCAGCGACCCGACATCGTGCACCTGCGACATCCTCGTGACACGCTCAACCTTAGGCGACCCCTCATTTACTCCTTTTTCAGGTTGATCGAATTTGTGGCGGGACACGGGATGGTGGAATGGTCATGTTTTTTAACAATTTGATGTTTATGAGTATTGAGATATTTGCTTATTATTTGGGTTCTAGACTTCTTTTCTTAGCATGTTAATTTAGTTCATTTGACTTGAGATTATGATATGTTTTATTTTATTATTGACTTTGATTATGAGTTAGCAGTTGAGCATGTTGAGTTAGCATTTGAGAAGTTGAGATCCTACAACTATTTGAGTTAAGTTTTTAAAGTTAAGAAGTTCCGCAAGTTTAGAAGGAGATGTTTCGTTGTAGTGCCTTACGTGTCAATTTGTTTATGAAAATCATTTTTTAAGTATAAAAACAAAGATTTTCAAAAGATAAGTAAGGGGTGTTACAATGTATTTTCTCATCATTAGGCTTGATATGGGATATTATATGCCTAAAGAATAGACCGGTTTACCACATTGGTCGAGCAAGCTCAATGTCGGGAAAATTGTATTGGTCGAGCGATAGTCGACCAAAAGGGAAATGATCGAGCAAGATAGCAGAACTGGTCGATGATCGACCTAGCGAAGGGGGACTCGGTCAGATCGAGCACTTGACAGGTGAAGAGTAATCGAGAGCGTGGCTTGAACACGAGAAAGCGCGTGGGCTTCCTCAGAAGATCCTAACGGAATGTGCAGAGAATAATCTCCCTCTGCTCAGAGGGACACGTGGCGAGAGTACATTGGTGCAGAGCAATAGTGGCGATAACCACCTCTGACACCTCTGACACACGCACACTGTGTGTGTACGGACGGGCAGCGCAGGTAGGACAGCTCACAAGATCCGGGCAGCTCCTAGGGCAGGTATCTCACTTCTATATATATATGAGTGAGTCTTTTCTTGTAACTTACGATTTATCTATATTCTTACTTTGGAGAATTGAGTGAAACACATACTTACTTATGCATCGGAGGCTCTTCACCGAAAAAACCCCTCGGTGTGAGAGTTCTTTGCAGGTACGCAGCGTTCTACCGGCGGGAAGGAGGAAGACGAGCCGATTTCAAGTCAGTCGAAGTGTTTTGCGTTACCATTTGGTGCCGTCTGTGGGACTTTTGTTTGAAAAGTGGTGTGCTGAGATTATCAAAGCATGGTAGCTATGGCGGACGGAATTCCTAGGAGAGATTTGCAAGCATTGTTCGACGAGGTGTGGA